GGTCAGGTGCTGAGCTCTGTGTCATGGAGAGGAGGAGAAGATTCCTGATGCCTGCTTGGAGCTCCCCACCCTCCCAGCCTCCTCAGAGCCCTGCTGATCATCGCTGGCTGCTGTGTGACACAGGGAGTTCAGCACAGTCACAGAGAGCAGAGCTGAGTGCCAGCACCAGCCAGGCTGGACGTGCCCAGTGCAGGGGAGATGCTTGGGGAGGGATGCCTGTGTTCCCCAGAGCTTGTTCAGGGCAGATAAGCTTCCTGCAAGCTGCAGCTTTCTGGAGAGCATCCAGAGGGATGGAGGCTGACTGCAGGCTCTGTTCAGGGCTTGGCTCGGGGTGCTCTTGGTGGCAGTTTGATATGTTTGGGATGGAAACTCCAGAAAGGAGCCACACAGATATCACTGCTGGTCAAACTGATCCCCTGAGAGCTGCTGATAAGCAGCCTGACCCAGCAGATACAGGATACTCTGTTCCAAGGAAATAACGGCAAGTTCAAGCTTCCCCATCGATTTTCTCTCCTTGGTAGTTTGTTTTCCATGCAGTAACTTGGTTTGAATGCCATCAGAATGGCAGCACTGCCTGACATTGGTGTTTTTGTGTGTGTGACATCTGAGCTGAGTTTGTTTTGCTTGGAGAAGAGAAAGCTCCAGGGAAACCTCACTGTGGCCTTCCAGTACTTGGAAGTGGCTTATAAAAAAGGAAAGTGACTTTGTACATGGGCAGATAGTGATAGGATATGGGGAAATGGATTTAAACTAAAAAAGGAGAGATTCAATTAGATTAGATTAGATAGGAGGAAAAAATTTTCTCTGTGAGGGTGGTGAGGCCCCAGCACAGGGTGCCCAGAGAAGCTGTGGCTGCCCCTGAATCCCTGGAAGTGTCCAAAGCCAGGCTGGACAGGGCTTGGAGCAGCCTGGGACAGTGGAAGATGTCCCTGCCATGGCAGGGGAGTGGAACAAGATGATTTTTAAGATCCCTTCTAACCCAGACTATTCTAGGATTGTGATTTCAGTGGGGGAATTGGAGCCCAGGCTGCAGCCTCTGCTTGGAGAGCTGAGACTCCTGGGATCTGAGTGAGCCTGAGAGCAGGGCTGGCAAATTGGCTTCCTCAGGCTCTGCTCAGACAGTGTTTGCACAAATGATGGGACATGGCTGTGCTTCATTCTCTGCAATGAAATGTATTTATTGTGCAGGCTCACTTGAGGACAAGGCTGAGTCCTTTGTGGGAAGCAGTCAGCATTTCTGTGACCTGTTCTTCCATGGCTAAGGGAGAGCAGGCCTCAGCAAGCACTCACCAAACATTGCATAATTAGTGGCATGTAATTAACTCCTAGAGAAGAATAAATTAAATAAATTACATTAGACATGTCTGTCAGTCTACACACAAGCACAATGTAAAATATGCTGTTTCCATTTAATTAATTTAGTCGAAGTCTTAGACCAGTTAAAGAATTCTTTGCTTTTTTTATGCTGTCAGACAGCCCAGTAAGTACAAACGCAAATCCTGCTCTGCTTCCCCTTCCCACTTGGAATTGCCATATGGAAAAGAGACGTGGCTTCCACCCCTCTCCAGAGTCATGGAAATGAGCTGTTATGAAATGGGGAAAAGGAGCCGGATCCTGACAATTTCTGAATGAGCAGCTGGAGAATTGACGTAATTGCAGGGCGCCGGCAGAGAGCTGAGAAAAGGAGGAGTCAGCTCAGAAAAGGAGTGAAAACAAGAGTGTGTTTAGCAAAGCTGAGCTCTCCTTCCTTTCCTTTTTGGCTGGATGTGTTTTTGCCACTGCCAGGTACAGCTTCCTTCAAGGCAAATAACTCATTTATGGCCAGAAATACCAGTTAAAATAATTGTTTTCCAGTAGTGTGCAGCCATTTTATAAAATAATCCTTGGCTCTGCAGTGTGGCAGGTAATCTAATAAACAGAACCTGGAAGTTTCATTACATGGAAATATGAATATAAACATGAAAAAGATAGTTTTGTCTGCAGATGGCCTAAGTGAAAGAAGCAGAGATAGGGATGAAATTAGTTCTGAGACCTGTTTAATATAATCCCTCTTTCCTGCTGTCTCCAATGAACTGGGAGATCAACATATCCTGCTCATAATGCTTTTGTTGTGCAAACAACCTGGTTTTCCTGGTGTTCAGGTGATGGAAACAAGGATGTCCCCTAGGAGACCATGGTCACTTCTGTGTCTGGAGACATCCTCCCAAAATCTGTTAATATCTGCTTTAAAAAAATTACTCTCTTTCAGATTATGAAGATTTGAAGGGACAAAGCAATCCCTGCTCCTCTGCACTGGTTGCTGGTTCAGCTGCTGGAAAGAGCAGAGGGAGAAGATGTGGGAGATCCCATGCAGGCACCAGGAGAGGGGACCTGGCACCAGGTGTCCCCGTGGCAGGGGGATGGCAGGGGACTCTCCTCAGCCCCCTGTCCTGGTGCTTGGATCCTTGGCCAGCACTGGGAGATCCACTCAGTTCTCTGAGCCAGGGGCATCCTGGATTTGTGCCCATCTTGGTACCCACTGCTAGTACAGGATGAGTAAAAACATAAATCATGGAATCCCTGAATGGTTTGGGTTGGAAGGGACCTTAAAGATCATCCAGTCCCATCCCTGCCATGACAGGGACACCTTCCACTGTCCCAGGCTGCTCCAAGCCCTGTCCAACCTGGCCTGGGACACTTTCAGGGATCCAGGGGCAGCCACAGCTTCTCTGGGCACCCTGTGCCAGGGCCTCCCCACCCTCCCAGGGAACAATTCCCAATTCCCAATATCCCATCCATCCCTGCCCTCTGGCAGTGGAAGCCATTCCCTGTGTCCTGTCCCTCCATCCCTTGTCCCCAGTCCCTCTCCAGCTCTCCTGGAGCCCCTTTAGGCTCTGTAAGGGGCTCTGAGCTCTCCCTGGATCCTTCTCCTCTCCAAGTGAACATTCCCAGCTCTCCCAGCCTGGCTCCAGAGCAGAGGGGCTCCAGCCAAAGTGCTGGTCCCACTTCCCTCTGTCTGCATGCCTGGAGGTGGGATTTGTCTGGTCTGGGAAGGTGGCACAGCTGTTGTACCCTGATGCCTGAGTTAGAGATAGAAATATTTAAGTTTAATTTGATTTACAAATTTTTTCCTGCCCTCACCATGAGTCATATCCTATCCAAGGATCTCCCCACTGTCTTTTCTGTGCAGCTGGAAGAAGAAAATAAAATTAGGACTTTGGTTAGCTGAGCAGGGTTTTGGGAAACACCACAAGAGAGGAGGCATTTCCTATTCTTTATATGGCCCTTGCAGCTTGGCAGTGCTTAAAAGGAGCAAACAAACCTGGGGCTCTTTGGCACCTGGCTGTCCTTACCTGTTGGGAATGCCTCAATGCTGAAAAAGGTGTTTGGTGTGTGCCTGCTCTCAGACACCTTCATTGGGCAGTGTGTGCCTGGATCTTAACTCATGGATTTGAAATGGGAAGGATTTTTTTTTTTTTCTAGAGGCCTTTAAGCAGTGACATGGGACAGGGGCTGGTGCTCAGAGGGATATTTTAGTGCTGCAGTCTGGTGGAGAATCTCGCTTTTCACAGCATTTGGGACTTTTGTTTAGCTAAAAAACCTCCAAGCAATGGAAAGAAAAGATCTTTGTCTTTCAGCTGTGAGCAAAGAAAGCTCATAGTATATGTCCAAGAGCCACCAGAAATCCCCTGGCAACCAGGCTTAATGATCCCTGTACTTCCTTGTGGGATCTTAGGAAATCACAAAAGTGCTGCTGTTATTTAAAATATGGAGTTACTGCTGGAGGCTTCTTTAGAGAGAGGCCCAGAATGGGCAAACCCTATTCCTCTTGATATTTATAACTTCTCTTTTAGCATGTGCACACACAGTCCTTGTGCTTTGAAACAGCTCAAAACCGGGTCCCCAAGGTCAGGGGCTGAAACAGAGACTGAGGAGGTTTAGCTTGAGGCAAAACTTGGGAAAGTTACAGCCTGAGCTAGCAAACTGGGAAGTTTTTGTTGGAATGTGGGGGGAACTTTCCATCTCACGCTCCTTTCCCTGCTGGCAGGGAGGTTTCACGTGGCTGTAGGTGAGCTGGCTGGCACATGAATCACCCTCAGCATCTCTTCCCTGTGCTGGAAAGTTTGGAAAGACCAGGAAAGGAAAATTACTGGAGCCGGCCTGCTCTTTGCAAATCCCAGGGCTGCAGGTCTTAAAATGCATTTGAGTCCTGTGGGACCCTCCTGGGTGATCACTCAGCAGCTCCACAGGGAACTTTGCCATTTCCAAGTGGGAAAATGGGCAGTGCTTGTGCTTTGTGTGTGCTTTCCGCTTGAGAGCAGAGAAGTGGCTTTTATCAGGATGGGCTTGTGTCTGCATGGCCTGATTCCTGCTGGGAGGGTCCTGGGGGATGCTGATGATGAGGCTGATGGCAGGAACAGCAGATTGCACTTGGAGCATCGGCTCAGGCTGCAGATGGAGCAGGAATGTGTTGCTACAGGAGCAGCAGTGGCACAGGATACACAAAGGCAGCTTCCTTTGATGGACATGTGAGATCCTTGGACACCTCAGCTGGAGAGCTGCTTCCATTCTTGAATCAGCCTTCAGGAAGGACCTGGTGGGGAGTGTCCAGAGGAGAGCAGATCTCTAGATAATGTGGTAGAAGGGAGGATGAGAAGGCTTGGACTTTGCTTTTCCAGCTGAGAAAGGGCTCAGGGAGGTGTGATGGCAGGCACTGTTTATGTAGGAAGTTGCAGAGATCTCCTTTCCATGTAGGATAAAATCTAATGGATGTGTTTTACCAAGGGAGATTCCAGCAGGGAATCAGCTCTGCCTGTGTGGAGCACGGGGTCAGGTGATCCCATGGAGTCTCCATTGGGGTGTCTGAGGCCAGAGGCAGCAGATCTGCTCTGGATGATGTTGTTTTAGGATGGATATTTGAGTGTTTGGATCTCTTACCACTCTATCCAGCCCCGCTGTCGCTGTCTCCTCACCGTGCACAGGAAGGCACCAAAGCCCTCTGGTTTTCCCTGCTCTCACAGGTAGTTTTGCAGACAAGGCTTACGAGTGGAGCTCTGAGGAAGAGGAATCTGTGAGGAAGGCGGGGCCAGTGCAGGTGCTCATTGTCAAAGATGACCACTCCTTCGAGCTGGACGAAGCCGCCCTGAACCGCATCCTCCTCTCCGAGGCTGTCAGGGACAAGGAGGTCGTGGCCGTGTCCGTGGCTGGAGCTTTTAGGAAAGGAAAATCGTTCCTGATGGACTTCATGCTGCGGTACATGTACAATAAGGTAAGGTGCAGCTCAGGGGGCCCTTCCCAGGGCCTGCTGTTCCTCCTTGCTCCCATGTGCTGCTCAGGGATGAGCTGGGCAGGATTTGGTGCTTTAGGATTGTTCAGTCCTCTCACGAGTGTGGGCTTCACAAAATAAAACAGCAGATCCTTCTCCAGGCAGAAGTTTCTTGTGGACTCTTGACTTTGGAGGAGGAGTGTTCACATCTGCTGCCCTGAATCACAGAATCATTTAGGCTGGAAAATCCCTCTAAGATGACTGAATCCAGCTGCTAACCCAGCAACACCTTATTCAGCACTAAACCATATCCTCAAGTGTCATATGGGGACTCCACCACTGCCCAGGGCAGCCTGTTCCAATGTGTGACCACCCTTCCAGTGAAAAATAATTTCCTAATATCCAACCCAAACCTTCCCTGGTGTAACTTCAGATTGTTTCCTCTTTTCCTGCTGCCTGATTCCCCCCCGGCTGTCCCCTCCTGTCAGAGAGTTGTGCAGAGCCACAAGGGCCCCCCTGAGCCTCCTTTTCTCCAGGCTGAGCCCCTTCCCATCTCCCTCAGGAATTCTCCAGCCCCTTCCCAGCCCCCTCAGCCTCTCCTGGTGCTCCAGAGCCTTCCCAGCTCTGTGCCCTTCTCTGGACACGCTCCAGCCCCTCAATGTCTTTATTGTGAGGAGCCCAAAACTGACCCCAGGATTTGAGATGCCTTGACGATAAAAGGAAAGAAAAACCTCCCTTATGGGGTTGTTAACCTCTTATCCTTTTTGACACCTCCATCAACTCCTTCTGTTCCTTCCTGCAGGAAGCAGTGGACTGGGTTGGGGATTACAACGAGCCCCTGACTGGTTTCTCCTGGAGGGGCGGCTCCGAGCGGGAGACGACCGGGATTCAGATCTGGAGCGAGGTTTTCCTGGTGGACAAACCCGATGGCACTAAGGTGTGTGTGTGTCTCTGTTATTGTCAGCTCATTTTCCTCTTCCAGCTTTTGAGACTCTCCTGCCTTGTCTTAGGTGGCTGTGTAAGTTTAGGGAAGGTTTTCAATACCATGTCTCTATTTTAGCATGGATGTGTTTAACAAAGTGAGGTGATGTGATGTCCAAGTGTCCCTGATATGTTCTCTAAGTGTCCCTCAACTCTGGGCATCCCAGAGTTTATTTCTGTACTATTCCCAGAAATCTTGAATCTCATGTCCTTGAAAACTACTTCTCTTTCCTAGAGCAGAAGTTATAAAGTGGAGTTTCTTCATTCAGAGTTGTTACAGTGGATTTGGAGCATCCTGCAAATTCAGCTGATAGCCAGGAATTTTTGTATTTATCTGCACTTCAAGGCAGAGCATGGCACCCAAGTGACACTGAGTCATTCAGGGTGTGATTCCTGACACTGGCTGAGTGTGTTTGGGTTTGGGAGGTGCAATTTGTGTTTGGTTTCTGGTGCAGACTCAGGCAGAGCCTCCTCTGCACTATCAGCAGCTGTCTGAGGAGCAGAGCACTTCCCTCACTGCCTTGCACAGCATTAATTTTGCTGCCTGCTGGAGTCACCCTGCTGTCAGGAGTGGCTGGGGGTGAGCTTTTCCTTTGTCCCCCACCAAGGAAGAGGCTGAGGCAGCAGCAGTGAGACCCCAGCACAGTAACTCAGCTGACATTCCCCTGGGGCACATGAGGGTGGCTTTGCCTGGCTGTCAGTGCTGGGGGTGCTGACAGGAGCTTTGTGCCTCACAGGTCGCAGTGCTGCTGATGGACACACAGGGCACCTTTGACAGCCAGTCCACCCTGAGGGACTCGGCCACCGTGTTTGCCCTCAGCACCATGATCAGCTCCATCCAGGTAAGAAACCTCTGGGCTGGAGGAGTTCAGTCCCCAGGAACTGCAGAACCTGTCAGGGCTTCCCTTCCTACAATTTCTACCAGCACAGCTGAGACCTTGCCTGTGTCCCCATGGGGATGTTGTTGGTTTTAGCCACACCAGCCACGTGTTAGCCCCAAGGACAGGCTGTTCTGAGTGATCTGAAGTTGTTTTTTTATTTAAATGCAGGTTTATAATTTATCCCAGAATGTGCAGGAGGATGATCTGCAGCACTTGCAGGTAAGAGAAGCTTTGGGGTAACCTAATTGTGGCTCTCTACAAGGGCCTGGAGTGACAGGACCACACAGAATGGCTTCCACTCCTGGAAGGCAGGGTTAGATGGAATATTGGGAAAGAATTTCTGCCTATGAGGCCCTGGCATAGGAGACTTTGGCTGCCTCATCCCTGGAAGCGTCCAAAGCCAGCTTGGATGAAGGTTGAAGCAACTTTGGATAGTGGAAGGTGTCCCTGGCCATGGCAGGGGTTGGAAGTGGATGGGATTTCAGGTCCCTCCCAATCCAAACCCTCCTGGAATTTTATTCTGTGATTGTGAATTATCAGCCTGGATGTTTCCACCTGGTACAAGCTCAGTACAGATGACCCTCTATCACAGAATTCTGTGATTCTGATAGATTCTGTGATTTTATTCTGTGATTGGGTATTATCACAGCCTGGATGTTTCCACCTGGTACAAGCTCAGTACAGATGACCCTCTATCACAGAATCACAAAATTCTGTGATATTATTCAGTGATTCTGAGAATTCTGTGATTGGGAATTATCACAGCCTGGATGTTGCCATCTGGTACTGGCTCACTACAGGTGATCCTCTGAGGGTGATTCCAGCCCTGACTGTTGGAGACAAGCAGCTAATGGGATTTTTGAGGCACAGGTGTCCTGCCAATTTCCTTGAATTACCTCCTGCTTTCTCCTCTGTTCAGCTGATTGATTAGTTGATTAATTAGGTAGGTTTTTCCCGGAGCCTAAGGAAAGGAAAGAAAAGCAAAAGTCCAGCTGAAAAAATCGGCATTTGAAGACTTCTGAATTATCTCAGTCCATAAATATTATTAACAATAACACTTCTTTAACACTGAATTTATTCAGCGTAGCTCTGATCTTTCAGTTTGGATTTTAAACCATGACTGTTTAACAAGTTGACCCATTTTTAGGCATCTGTGAAACACATTATTGTGCCTTCAGTTAGAAATTAGAGTGCAGAGAGACTGGAGAGTCTTCAAGTCTTGCTGCTAGGCTGATTTTAGAGTCTTTGCACAGCAGGGGTTTGCAGGGAAACTACTTCTTTCTGAATTAATTTCCTCTCCTTCCTGGAGTGTTTCGAGGGAGCAGGGCTCCAGCAGCACGAGAACTTTCTGGTTGGTATGAAACCAGCAGCAAGCAGCTGATCTGAGCCATTTTCCACAGATTTGGCAGCCAGAAGCTCCAGGCTGGGATCTCTCACATGAGAGCTCAGCAGGGTGATTATTCCATTACAGCTCCCTGGGGTGGGAGCTGGGAGCCCAGGGCCACTTTGTGTCCAGCTCTGCACATGGTGTTGGTAGTCCCCAATCATAAATGTCCCTTAATGCTTCAGAGAATCATAGAATTCCTTCCAGGGAGCCACAGGGAATCAGCTCCAGTCCCTGCAAAGACTCCTCAGCAATCTCACCCTGGCTGTCCCTGGGAGTGTTACCCCAACACTCCTGCAGCTCTGGCAGCCTCGGGAATGTCACCATTCCCTGGGGAGCCTGAGCAGTGCCCAGCACCCTCTGAGGGGAAAAACCTTTCCCTGATTTCCACCTAAACCTCCCTGGCTCAGCTCCAGCCATTCCCTGTCCCTGTCCCAGCCAGCAGAGCTCAGTGCTGGTGCCCCTGTGTCCCACAGTGCCTGCAGTGACAAACTCACCGTCCCATTCCTTCCTTGTCCTTGCAGCTTTTCACCGAGTATGGCCGGCTGGCCATGGAGGAGACATTCCAGAAACCTTTCCAGGTGAGTCCAGAGCTCCTGGCCAGCTCCATTGGCTTCACCACGAGGTGTCACTGCAGTTTGCAGGATGGGAGGAGATGTGTAACAGCGGTGGGAGTTTGCACCACTTAACGAGTGGTTTGTTTCCATTTTTTTTTTTTTTTTTTTTTTGCTTTCACTCAGAGCTAGGATTAAAAAATACACGAAGGAAATAGATTTTTCTCGTGTGCGGGTTTGGTTGTTTATTAAATCTTATTAAAAATTTTAGAGGGTTTAGCAGCACTTCTAGCTACTTGCTAGAAGTGAGGAAAAATGGAGGAAGATTTAGTTGCTATAAGGTTTCTTAAAGCTTAATACTCTAATAGATAATTAATATCTATGTTATTTATTTTTTACTTAATAACTTATTCTTAGTGTGACACTGACTAATTAACTAATTAGAAATTATTATTTGAAACCTACGAAGAAGAAGGAAGATGAACACTGAAAGAGACTCTACTCAAAGTCCTCCCTCTTGTCCCATGCTTATTATTGTACTATAAAATCTCACATTTAAAACCTTTTACCATGTGCAATCACACACTTTTATTTCACTCCACACCCGTGATTTTAACTCCATCACTCAAATTTGGAGCCTTCTCCAAGGGCTCATGTCCAAAGCAGTGTTCTGCAGGGGTCAGTGCCTGACAGCACAAAAAGCTCAAAATCCCCAGGATTCTGGGGTCCAGCAGGATGGAATTGGCTGCCTGGGGGTCTCCAAGGAAGAGCTTTGTGCTTCCTTGCTTCCAAACACATCCAACATCTCTCCTTCTTTCCTCTCTGAACCCTTGCCCATTCCAAGAGCTCTGCCCTGTCCTGCCAGGCTTGGAAAGCAGCAGGTTTGTCACTCTCTGTAGTCAGGAACTCTGCCCAGCCTTTGTTCTGAGAGGTTTGAACTCACCTGCCCTGGGAATCCCTGCTCCTGGCAAAATGAAAGGATAAGGATTAGCAGAGCTGTGGGAAAACTCGGTGTAAGTGGGGTTTTAACTTCAAATAAGGGACATCTGTTCATCCTTCTGCTCCCCAACCTGTGAAAAGCTGGTGTTAAAAAAAAAAAAAAAAAAAAAAAAGAGAGCATTGGGCATTCACGGTAGGTGAGGTTGGTTCCTGTTTTTAAAGACACAGGAGGGTTTTGATTAGGTTGGATGAGGGTTTGTGAACTTCCTAAAGTAAAAGCCAGCAGGGAACAAAGCATGCTGTAAAAATTCAAGGAGTAACTGGGAATGAGTTACAGCTATTTTATATTTGCTTTCCCACATAAAAAGAGAATTGTTGTCCTGGAAGGACTAAGGGTGTCTGTGGTCAGGAAGTGGAAATAAAATTAAAAGATTAAAAAATATTACAAATGGACAAAATGAGATTTTTAAGGTGTGTTGGATTCTGCTGTGGGCAGGAGGCTGCTAAATGGTAAAACTACAAATATATATAGTAAAAATATATGGCAGGCAAGAGCTTGAAGAACGTTGTAACATGGTACAGCAAAAAGCCAGACATTAAATAAATATTCCTGCTCCTTATTTCAAAACTGTGGGGATAATGTAGCCAAATATTCCAGTGAAACTGAGATACTTCCTACTCCATCAGTGAAAAAGAGGCTGTGAGGGGAAACTTAAACATGCTTAAATCATTAGGGCTGGATTATAGACTCAGATTTTCCCAAACACTGTAATTGCTGTCGAGTCACAGTTTGAGGATGGTGAGTCTTGTCAAACAATCCCATTATCCAGTTTTCAAAGACCACGAGTTGGGTTGATAAAGGTAACTCTCACCATGATCCATTGCCTTCTGTCAGCCTTATCTCTCCAGGATGCTGATTAAAAGTAAATGAAGTCAGCATTGTCTGGTTTAATCCATTGTTAATGGATTAAAAACTCATTAACTGATAGATGCCAGAGCACACTGAACTAATTGTAACAGGGAATCATCATCCTTCAGAAGTGTTTCCTTGGGATCCCCCCAGGCTCTCTCTGATTCAATGTCATCTCCATTAATGATCAGAGGAGAATTATGAAATGATGCTGGGAACCCTTGTGGCTGTGACAAATGTGGCAGAAGGGTCAGTGGTGCTGTGGCCAGGTGAGAAATGATCTCCTGTCTGCATCCAGCATGAGCTGGTTCCTGCACAACATGTCTTTAAATGTGACAGTGTTGATTAGAAAGCAGGAAAAGTGAGGGTGGGGAGGCCCTGGCAGAGTTTTCCCAGATTTGCTGTGGCTGCCTCATCCCTGGAAATGTCCAAAGTCAGGTTGGACAGGGCTTGGAGCAGCCTGGGACAGTGGGAGGTGTCCCTGCCCATAGCAGGGGTGGCACTGGATGAGCTTTAAGGTCCCTTCCAACCCAAACCATCCTGAAATCCTGGGATTCTCCAAATGTGATGGTGAATAAACTGCAGTGACATTGATCCTGCTGGAAGTGAGACTTGGCAGTGCAAAATTGACATTTCCCTTTGTCTCCCTCCTCTCCTCACTCTGAGGATCCCTTGCCAGAGGCTGGCCCTGAACGTGGGGCCTTCACAAAGGCAATGGCAAACACAGCCTGTCTGGAACAATTTTACTTCAGGAAAAAAAAAATAAAAAATTCTCAGTTCAAGGCGTGCATAATGAGCTTGTGGAAAAGTCCTAAACATGGACATGTTTAAGCATCTCATGGTGTTTGAGAACAGCATGTCCTGTACCAGCTCACTGGCTGCAGCCACTGTGGCTTCTCCTGCAATTCAAAAAAGCCAACTCACTGTTCTCTCCTTTTTTTTTTTTTTAACTTTTTCTGATGTTTTATAGAAGAGGAATAGCAGGAATATTTCCCCTCCCTCCATTAGATTTCTTGATCTAAACATAGATAAGTTTTAGGGAAATTCCAATGAAATGGGTTCCACTTGCTGACCTGCTTATCCATGTGCATGAGAGGAATCCTGGCACCTCTGCCAGAGCCTCCTGGGCTTTGGCATTCAGGACTTCCCCCTCCAAACCCTTTATTTCCTACATGGGATGTTGGTTCCTTATACAAATGAGGCAATGGAGACCTGATTTTTTTCTGAAAACTTTTTTTTTTTTTTTTTAAGTTTCAAACTTAACTGTTCTGGTATTTATTTATTTATTGCCCAGGAACTTTGAATGCCTCAATAAAGATTACAAAAGCCAATGATTTCTTATTCACCCTCATTCCTCTGCATCTGCTTCTCATTAAAAGTCTGTCTGGAAGGCTGCCCAGTGAAAAAATGAGCCTGTAGAATTCCCATAGGATAGAACTAAATGTGGCTGGAATTAGGGAGCTTGCTGCCTTTTGTCCTGGTTAGCAACAATCCCTTTTCTTGGGCAGTTCAGATAATTGATGTTGTTCTCCCAGCAAACTGGTGCAGCAGTTTAGGGCATTCTCCCCCTTTTCCTTGTGGGAAATGGTCTCAGTCTCTGCACACAGGGACCTCTTATTTCCACCAGGAAAGGTGGGAGATGCTGCTGGAGCTGGGAAAAGACTCAGGGCCGGGTTTTGGTGTGGTGTGAAATGAGGGTGAGGGTGCAGAGGGTGCTCAGCTGCTGCTGTGGGCTCTGAGCTGCAGGTCACTGACCCCACTGTTGTGTCTTTTCCAGTCCCTTATATTCCTTGTTCGTGACTGGAGCTTCCCTTATGAATTTTCCTATGGATCTGATGGTGGTGCAAGATTTTTGGAGAAGAGGCTGAAGGTATGTTTTGCCTGCTCTTGGTTCTGGAGCAGCCTAGAACAGTGGAAGTGTCTCTGTACATGGCCAGGATGTGGAACTGGATGATCTTTAAGGTCCTTTCCACCCCAATCCACTCTGTGATTCCATGATTTTCCTGTTCAGCTGGCTGACCTCAGCACTGGATATCAGGTGTGAGCTGCAGTTCTGCTTATGGTCACACTCAGTGCATTAAAATCACAGAGGAGACATTTGGGGAGGATGAATTTCCTTGCCATGTTCAGGATTCTGCCCAAGCCCAGCTCCCTGGGATCTCTGGGAGAGTGGACAGCAATGGGAGTCAGCAGATTCCTGAGAGACTGGGAATGATGCTTTAGTAATTAAAGAGTTGTACAATAAAAATGATGGGCAGGGGCTGCTTGGGATCAGTCAGGAAATGCATGGGTGATCTGGTAGTGGAGAGACCTAATTAAATGTGAGATAAGGAATGCCCCAGTGGGAAATCCCAAATGTTTTTGTATTCCAGTCATCCATGAACATGTGCATTTTCCAAATGATAATAACATGCTCCAGGGCATGTGGTCAGAGATATTCCAGTTCCTTCTCTTTGTCCTCATGCCTTTGGAATCTTCTGTGCTCCTTTCCCCCACTGTGAGCAGCCACAGTGTGGAGTATCCTGTGTTCCTGCCAGCTTTATCCCAGTATTCCTCTCAGGAGGAAACTCACTGCCCCCAAACTGTGGGAAGTAGAAGGGCAGCACCAGGGTCTTCTCTCTGGTGACCACTGGCAGAACCTGAGGGAAGAGCTGGAACTGTGACAGGGGAGGTTTAGGTTGGATTTCCTCCAGAGGGTGCTGGTGACATTCCCAAGGCTGCCAGAGCTCCAGAAGTGTTTGGAAAACACTCCCAGGGATGCACAGGGTGGGAGCTGGATTGAATGATCCTTGTGGGCACCTCCAGCTCTGGATATTCTGTGATTCATTGTCTCCACAGGTGTCAGGTAACCAGCACGAGGAGCTGCAGAATGTCAGGAAGCACATCCATTCCTGCTTCACCAAAATCTCCTGCTTCCTCTTACCTCACCCCGGCCTCAAAGTCGCCACCAACCCCAATTTCGATGGAAAACTGAAAGGTACAAAGGCAAACCTCTGGTTTCTACCCTGATTCCTTAGAAACCTTGGCAGACTGTCCTGCTTGTTCCTGAAACCTCCATAAGTATTTTCCATGAAAAAACTTCTGGGAGAGGAGTTGGATCCTCCTCTCAGTGATGTTCACACCCTCCTCATCTTCTTCCTCCCAGTGCAGCAGACAGACACGGAGGGAGAGAAGGTGTGGGAGGCTGACAAGGCTGAGAGCTGCTGGCAATACCCGGGACACTGATAGGAAAACTGGGAAGGGCAGGGATGAGCCTGGATGTTTTATGGACGTGGTGTTAAACCTGCAGTAAATTCCTGTGCCTCAACTTCACAGGCAGAGCCTGGTTGCTGCAAGGCTGGTGCTTGTGGTGGGTGGAAAGCTGGTTCCACAAGCTCTCAGAATGTTATTTCACTTTGAAAAGCTTTCCAGGGGATATTTAATCTGCCTGACTTATCTGATTGGTGGTTTCCCTACAGGGCAGGCTTGGTTCAGCAGGTTAAAAAAAAGGGAGAAAGAGAAAAGAGCTGTGGTGAGATTCTCCACCCTGAAAGGAGCCACGTGCTGGGGATATTTTTAGGTGTTTGTTGTGAACTCCTCACCAGCATGGCTGGTTCCAGGCTGCTGCAATCTTAGCAATAAAATGGACCATTAGCTACTTAAAATAAATTAGCAGGCAAAGATGTGAGCTTTCCCCTGGTTCTGTCTGGCTCAGACTTGCTCTCCTGGCAAACTCCACGCTAAGCAGGAGGGACAGCAAAGGCAGCAGGAGGGAGATGTGCTGATGGAAACTGAGCAGATCCCTGGAGCCTCCCCCCTTAACCTCAGGTGCTGGGAGTATGGAACAAGTGCTCTGTGCAGACAGGAGCTGTCAGCAGCTTCTTGACACAATTTTCTTGTTGCCTCAGAGCTGTACTCAGCTTTTTGTGCTCTGATGGAAGAAGTGTGGGGGATCTTCCCTGCTCTCTGTACCTTCCAAATTCCTGGCTGTGGTACTGGTTTTTTCTCCTTTCAGTCCTATACAGTTTAATTTAATGGAAGCACCAAAAATCCCACCCTGTGCATCCCTGAGAGCTTTGTCCAAATCCTCCTGGGGCTCTGGGCAGCCTTGGGGCTGTGACCATTCCCTGTGGAGCCTGTTCCTCTCACCCACTGGGGGAAGAACCTCCCATGGCAGGGGACTGGAACATGAAGGACATTTAATGCCCCTTCCAACCCAAACTATTCTGGGACTCTGTGATGCCTCTATTTAATTTTTTTTCCAGAAATAGACGATGAATTCATCAAGAACTTGAAGATTTTGATTCCTTGGCTTCTTAGTCCTGAGAACCTGGATGTTAAGGAGATCAATGGAAACCATATCACCTGTCGAGGCCTTGTGGAGTATTTTAAGGTATTTTTTTAAGAGAAAGTGGATTTATTCCTCTGTGGAATTGTGCTGTAGCTAAAGGGGAAAGCAGCAGCAGGCAGGGCAGCACTGACAGTCCTGACTCACTGCAGCAGAGGTCAAACACCTCATGGTCGTTTGTCTGACCACACAGGGAGCCCAAAAAGTGGGAGGAGCTGTTTTCCTTCCCTGGAGAATTGAGGGCTAGAGGGGGGAAAAGCTGAGGGCTGTATTCCAATTGCCTTTGGAAAAAGCTTATTTTTGTTGTCATGGCTACTGGGACATTTCCATGCGAGACATTGGTGAGTAATTCTCCCCACCTACTCTCCAGGGCTACCTTGGCTCCTTCTCCTCCAGGGAAAGGACAGAGGTAGGTGCAGATCCTTTGGGAGGGACACTGGGAATGAGTGGAAGAGGGACAACCTCCAGTGACAGACCCAGGCCACCCAAGGAGTGGCATTTTTCTGACCAAATCCATCTTGTGCTGGAGCATCCTCCTCTTCCCTGCTTCTGAATCCTGTCTGGAGCTGGGTGGGGGTGGTTGGTGTTGCTCCTGTGTGCTGCATTCCACATGATTCCCTTCTCCCTGCTCTTTTCCAGGCCTACATAAAGATCTACCAAGGGGAGGAGTTGCCACACCCCAAGTCGATGCTGCAGGTGAGTAGGAGCTGTGGGAATTCCTGCATTGGAATTGCCATTAATTCCCAGGAATTGCCAGAGGTGTCCAGCCAGTGCAGCACAGTGGGTCTGCTGTGACTTTATTTCAAATGCTTCAGTGGAACCACCCAAGGAGCAGCACTTTGGGAAGGTTTGGCACCACGAGCCTGAAATGGCTGAGGAATCACACCTGGGATGGACTGTGGGGAATTGCTGGCTGCACACAGCACCAGCCAGCTCAGCTGCAATGATTCCCTGCAGGTGAATGACATCCTTGGGGCCACACAGGGAGGTGACACATGGGAATTGGCTGCTGGAGGTTGCAGCTGGAGCTGTTTACTTGTGGCTGAGCCTTTTATCTCTTTCCTTGCTGGTTCCCACAGCTGAAGCCAAAATTTTTGTAGCTCTGGCTTGGAGGGTAGGAATCCTCTCTTCATGCAAGCTTTTGGATGTGTAAATATGGGATGAGCTTATTTGGGATCGTTTGGAGACTGGGAGAGCCCCGTGGCTGAATCTGAGTGCCACACACATGTCCTGCCTGTGTCCACTTCCAACTTAACCCTATCCTTCTGCACCTCAATTTTGTGTCCCTTTTGCCCTTACAGGCCACAGCAGAAGCCAACAATTTAGCAGCAGTTGCCACTGCCAAAGACACCTACAGCAAGAGGATGGAGGAGGTGGGTGATGCTGAGTGTGTCCCTTCCTGTCTTTTCTGGTCTCCTGACTCTCCTGTCACAGATTCATGGAATCCCAGAATGGTTTGGGTTGGAAGGGACCTTAAAGCTCATCCAGTCCCACCCCCTGCCATGGCAGGGACACCTTCCACTGTCCCAGATTGCTCCAAGCCCTGTCCAGCCTGGCCTGGGACACTTCCAGGGATCCAGGGGCAGCCACAGCTTCTCTGGGCACCCTGTGCCAGGTCCTCACCACCCTCCCAGCCAGGAATTCCTTCCCAAACTCTGACCCCTAATCCCTAACCCTGATTTCAGATTTCCCTGTATCAGGTGTGATTTCCTTGTGTCAGGAGTGATTTCACCATGTCAGGAGTGACGTTCCAGCAGTGCCATTTCAGGGGTGATTTCCCTGTGTCAGGAGTGCCATATCAGGAGTGATGTCATTGCTTTGGGAGTGACATTTCAGGAATGATTTCACCGTGTCAGGAGTGTTTTAGGATGTTTTAGGATGTTTTAGGAGTGATTTCACTATTTTGGGAATGACATTGAGGGGTGATTTCTCTGTTTCAGGAGTGATTTAATTGTTTCAGGAGTGCCCTTTCAGGGATGATTTCCCTGTGCCAGGAGTGGCATTTCAGGAGTGATTTCTGTGTATAAGGAGTGCCCTTTCAAGGATGATTTTCCTGTTTCAGGGGTGATTTCCCTGAGTCAGGAGTAACGTTTCAGGGGTGATTTCTGTGTATAAAGAGTGACATTTCAGGGATGATTTCCTTATGTCAGGAGTGACATTTCAGGAATGATTTCCCCGTTTCAGGAGTGCCCTTTCAAGAGTGATTTCGCTGTGTCGGGAGTGATTTTCCTGTGTCAGCAGTGCCATTTCAGGATTTAATTGTTTCAGGAGTGCCATTTCAGAAATTATTTCCCTGTGTCAGGAGTAAGGTTTCAGGAGTGATTTCCCTGTGTAAGGAGTGACGTTTCAGCAGTGATTTCCCCATGTCAGGGATGATTTCCCCGTGTCAGGGATGATTTCCCTGTGTCAGGAGTGACATTTCAGGGATGATTTCTCCATGTCAGGAGTTCCCTTTCAGCAGTGATTTTCCCATGTCAGGGATGATTTCCCTGTGTCAGGGATGATTTCCCCATGTCAGGAGTTCCCTTTCAGGGATGGTTTCCCCATGTCAGGGATGATTTCCCCATGTCAGGAGTTCCCTTTCAGCAGTGATGTCCCCATGTCAGGGATGATTTCCCCGTGTCAGGGATGATTTCCCTGTTGCAGCAATGATCTCCCCATGTCAGCAGTGCCACTCCAGCAGCTCTCTGTCTCTCTGTCCTCTCCCCATGTCCCCACACAGGTGTGTGGAGGGGACAAACCCTTCCTGGCTCCCAGCGACCTGCAGGCCAAGCACGCCGAGCTCAGGGACGAGGCCGTGCGGCTTTTCCGCGGCGTCAAGAAAATGGGAGGGGAGGAGTTCAGCAGGAGGTACCTGCAGCAGCTGGAGGCTGAGATTGATGAGCTCTACATCCAGTACATCAAACACAACGACAGCAAGAACATCTTCCATGCTGCTCGCACCCCTGCCACGCTCTTCGTCGTCATCTTCATCACCTACGTCCTGGCTGGCATCACCGGCTTCATTGGCTTGGACATCATAGCCAGCCTGTGCAACATGATTCTGGGCTTGACACTTATCACACTCTGTACCTGGGCTTATATCAGATACTCTGGGGAGTACAGAGAACTGGGAGCTGTAATAGACCAAGTGGCTGCAGCCTTGTGGGATCAGGTAGGATAAAGAGTTTTTGATTTCAATCCAGCACGTAAAAAGCGTCCTCGCTGCACCCCACCCGGTGGTTTTTTAAAGCGTTGAGTTTCCTGGAGGTTTTCTTCCCCTCTTTGAGATGGTTTTGGGTTTTAGGGTTCTTAGATCCAGCTGCTTGTGTTGTGATCAGTGCAGGGACACCTTTTGAATTTTAATCCATTCCTTAGAACTTCCAGATGGGGAGAGGAGGGGCAGAGGAATTGTTTGCAGGTCAGTTTGTGGAGTTTGTTGTCATGGGGAGGTGAACAAGGCTGGAGCTGTGTCCCTGAGCCTCCAGTTCCTGTCCAGTGTGGAAAACAAGCTGTATAGATCTGAGAAAACTCCCAGCAAGTTCTTTTTTTCTGCCTTTTTCTTGTCTTTGCCATCAGCAGATGTGAGTTTGTGGAGCCTTGTGGGAATGGGCAGCTCTGCCAGGGCTGCCCTGGGGAGGATCCTGGGGTGTGTGCTTGGTGTGTGCCTGGCTGTGGCTGTTAAAGAGGAGCAGCCATTGCTCTCCCCTGGTTCAGGGCAGGATTTTGGCTCTCCCAGCTCTGCCAGAAGTTGACACCAGATCCTGGCTCTGCCTGTTTTGGCACCTGACCCTGATTTCCCATTGCAGCCCTTCCCTGTTCCCACTGCAGCAAAGGGAAAGCCCAGCCCAGAGACTCCCCCTGAGCCCTGCACCCCACACAGGGGGCAATCCCTGTGCCCAGAGAGCCAAAAGGCTGCAGTGCCCCCCTGCTCTTCCCACAGCAGAGCTGGGCAAGCTCATCCCTCAGGAGCCATCCCAGCTCTGGTTTCTGGCAGGAAGGGAACTTCTCCTTCCCTGCTTCCCTCCACCAGCGAGGTTTTCATGGAGAACAAGCACATTTCCCAGCTTCCCTGTGCTGACAATGCAGCTCTGGGGGAAATAAAGGCAGCATTTACTGATGTTCCTTCATTCCAGAGCTGGGCAGTGGTGCTGCTCAGCAGAGAAGTGCCCCAGGTGGATTCATCCTGTCCCCAGCACCTGAGCACCCCCAGTCAATCCCCCTGCAGTGGCTCTTTGCCCAGGGACACTTCCCAGGAGCCTTTGGGATGTGCTGGAATATTTAAGCCCATCCCAGTGCAGAAGCAGTGGGAATTCAGCAAGAACAGGACACAGGCAGCAGGAAGCCAGAGGTGCTGCCCACTTGCAACATGCCCAGCTGGGGGAAAATAAAGAGGGTAAAGTGCTTGGAGCTGTTCCTGGCATCCACAGGCCCCCGTGGCTTTCCAAGCAGAGGGAGAGTTCTGCCAGGAAGGATTTGTGGCAGAGGGGAGGTGCTGGGTTGGGTAAATCAGCAGCTCTGTCCCATGGGAGTGGGACCAGGTGCAGGAGGGATGGATGGAGCAGGGAGGGGTCCTGCAAGAGGGGACCAGTTTGGGATGAGCAGCCCAGGGATGAGCTCCCATGGACACTGAGATACACAGAGCTGTTTCTTTCTCTTTCTGTCTCCCCTTTGCCAATGCCTCTCCCAGGGAAGCACAAATGAGGTAAGTGGTTCTTGTTGTGTGCATGCTGCCGGGGCCAGCTGAGCCCTGGGCTCCTGGGAAAAGATCTTGGCCCCAAAAGCACATTTGGGCTGGTGGAGGATGGGAGTCACCAGGGCTCTGGGCAGCAGCTGCTGGCCTGGCTGCCTCTGGCTGTTCCCTGGGATTCTGATGCCTGGGGAAGGGTGTGGATGTGGGCACTGAGCTCCAGGAGCCAAGTGGGAGAAAGATTTGGGTGGGGAATGTCAGGATGTGATGGGGATTTTCACCTTTCTCCCATCAGTTCTGTTTGGGGATTTTCCTGTTGTGCCAGGAGGTCGAACCCAAACCCCAGATTGTTTTGGAGCACCAACTGTGCAAGTGCAGGCAGGGACAGCTGAGGAGCCCCCATGCCTGGCCAGGCCTCTCTGTGCTGCTGGAATTGTTGATTTTTTGGGAATAACCACCCCGTATTGGATTAATCTGAGAGCTCAGGAGGCACAGTTCATCCTCCAGCATCTCCCTGGGCAGCACATGGAACACAATCCTGCTCTCCCAGCTTGGCAGGGGAGCTGCTCTGCTCCCTGTAAAGGCATTCCAAGAACAGGAAAACCTGGATGAGAGAGGGACATTCTGCCCCACTCAGCTGAGGCCCCACCTGCAGAGCCTCCAGCCCTGGGGTCCAACATTAGAAGGACTTGGAGCTGCTGGAACAAGTCCAGAGGAGCCACGAAAATTCTCTGAGGGCTGGAGCCCCCTTCTGCTCTGGAGCCAGGCTGGGAGAGCTGGGAATGTTCACCTGGAGAGGAGAAGGATCCAGAGAGAGCTCAGAGCCCCTTGCAGAGCCTAAAGGGGCTCCAGGAGAGCTGGAGAGGGACTGGGGACAAGGGATGGAGGGACAGGACACAGGGAATGGCTCCCACTGCCAGAGGGCAGGGATGGATGGGATATTGGGAATTGGGAATTCCTCCCTGTGAGGGTGGGGAGGCCCTGGCACAGGGTGCCCAGAGAAGCTGTGGCTGCCCCTGGATCCCTGGAAGTGTCCCAGGCCAGGTTGGACATTGGGGTTTGGAGCACCCTGGGATATCCAAGTGTGTCCCTGTTTATTCTGGGGGATTGGAACGGAATGGTCTTTAGAGGTGCCTTCCAACCCAATCCATTGTGGGATTCTGATTTATGATCCCAGCCACAGCAGCTCTGTGTGTGCTCAGCTCCTCCTGCCCAGCACTGCAGGATCCCACTGTGAGCTCCTGGAATGTTCCTTGGGCAAAGCCTCACCAGGATCTGATTAAACCAAAAAAAGACAAATTTCCTGCATATGGACATTATTTATTCCAGCTCTGTATCCAAGTGCTTCCCCAGCCTGGCCCAGGTGTGGCAAGTTCATTTGAGATGGGGATGTCAGAGCTGTGACAGTCGGTCACACCAAATCCTCTGCAGCCAGAGCCGTGTCCTGGCACCTCCTGTGCCGTTTGCTCTGGGGTAAAGGTGGGGAGGAGGCAGGGAGGGACATGGGGGGTGTCACTCACCTGTCACCCCCGTGGGATCAGAGCCTGGTCCCAGCCCTGTGGGTGCTGTGCTGTCGGTTCTGTGTGGGAAGTGCAGCCCTGCAGCCACTCCTGCCCGTTCTGAGCCTGGCCTGGCTCCAGGACAAATGGAAAATGGTAAAATCAGAAGGAAAAACCCCACATCTGTAGAAAAATGATGGGGACAGTGACCTGTCCCACCCGCAGCCCTCGGGCTGATGCAATGATGGAGCTGCCTGGGGGGGTAAAGCAAACGCTGAGGCTGCAGGAATCACGCAGGGAAAAACAACAACCCCCAAATGCCTCACTCAGAGTCCAAATGAATGATTTGATACAGCTCAAGGGGGACGAGGTGCTTGAAATTTGGAATTGTAGACTCACAGAATATCCTGAACTGGAAGGGACCCACAGGGATCATCCAAGGCAGGCTCCAAGACACCCCAGCAATCCCACCCTGGGCATCCCTGGTGTCCAAACACTCCTGGAGCTCTGGCAACCTCGGGAATGTCACCATTCCCTGGGAGCCTGGGCAGTGCCCAGCACCCTCTGGGGGAGGAACCTTTTCCTGAAATCCAACCTAAATCCCCCAACACAGCTCCAGCCTTTCCTTGGGTCCTAAACCCATGAGCTGGAGCCCTTTGTGTGTTGGACACTGGACCCAACCATGCTGAACACACAGAGGATTGGGATTCCCTAGATTTGGGATTCCCAAGGTTCGGGATTCCCTGGGTGTCCCTGTAGGGGTTGGTGTGACACACAGATACACTACATTTCAGAAGGCTAATATTCTGTTTATTACAACTGGCTGTCTTTTATACACTCTACAAAATTAAACTTTATCCATTGGTTACAGTAGATCAACATAATGTTGATTGGTGTAAAGCCATCTACGCCTCTGTTTTCCACAAAAC